GGCCTGTTTTTTAGCCCAGAAGGGCTATTAATTTCGATTTGGCATTTTGCGTTGAAAACTTAAATGACCGTTTCATTTTTCAAATTGTTGCCACCAAATATTATCGCCCTGTATTATATTTAAAGAAATTAAATAATGAAGAATCTGCGTAAATGTATCTCGCATTGTGATAAAACAACAGTACCTAGAGAGATCACCTGCACTGAATTCTTGAATGACGTAATCCTCCGGCGATATCGGATATGGGCATTCAGGAAGCCCGAATTTGGAATTTTTTTTATTATCTATTTCACATTTTGCAAAACTTTAACGAATTTTTGATTAACGAACTCAACGATTTCAAAGCGAGCAATAGCAACTTTGAAAGGGGGGGATTTATCTCCAGCGCCCCAGACTGCGTATCGGAAATTCTAAAGACATGTTTTTTTTTAAAGTTATTTTGTGATATTGTTGTTGAATTGAATATTATGGTTTAAGTGCGAAGACCATGATATTCAATAAATAAAGGTAACACACATAAGGTTAAAAAAGAGCCCCTTTGGGAGTAATATAAAATGTAACAAATTTCAGTTTTCTTTTTAATGCATTAAACTTTTCTCCGCCACATGTAGAAAAATATTCATGTAATAAATGTATATAGGCGATTATAAACATCTTTAATTTTTACTACAACTTAATATTTGGTAGCATCTTGATTCTGATAAAGTTTGTAGCCTTGGAGGAAAACTGTTAGAAGTTATCTTCATCAAGAACAACAGAGACTCATCAGTCGATTCTCTTTTCTCAGACTTAATAATTTGCATCTGCGAAAAACACTAAAAATGTACTGATTATTCTTGTTGCGAAAATTCGTAACTGAGGGTATTTGTCTTTTTGCAAGTACGAAGAAAAGTTAATCAACTATATAAACCTTGAATAAGATTTATTTCACAATCCTAAATCATTTGTAGAATTTCTGCAACGATATTCACATTCATTCTAACGGTAATGAAAATAATGTAAAATTTGACTACAAATCATTAAGATGAATGCATCTTTCTTGAAGTTCTTGTTGTAATGCTCTTTTTCTTATATATTTTTGAGATTTTTCATTTGAAATAAGGCAGGATTTGAAACGTAGGAAATGTACGAAATATTTTGATTCATATTGTATTTCCCATATTTGAAATTGAACATGTTTAACATAAGCATACATACTATTTATAAGTTTATCCTTTTTTGCAGCTCTTTATTAATAATTTTTCCAATGCCCGATTAAGTTAATTGGAAATGTTAAACATGTTATCCAGATTTCATTATATAGCTCGTCAATGGCTTCATTTATTCATTTTTATATCATAAAAACTTTGATGTCTTCTATTAATCAAAAAACTGTCTTAATATGTCTCCTCGATATTATTACCTCATCTCATTATACTAAATATCGTATTTCTCCTTGTATAAGACGCACCTTGATTATTGGATCCGAAAACTGAAGACCAACTAAAGAATTATTTAGTTGATGGACTGGTTTTCATTAACGTGGACTGTAATTTAATAGTGAAAAACTATTAAATTAAGTTAGTGAAATAAGCATTTATTTAGTATACAACTTGTCACCATTGTCAGAACCCTCCCCCATCCATTATATAACCTCATCTGCGTACCCCTAAAGTAGGGGGTCTTCAACCCGTACTCCGCGGGCCATGGGTGTCCCGCTGAAGGTATTTTAGTGGCCCTAAATTTGAATTTGAAGAAAAATTGAAAAAATTTTAAGAAATTTTGATTTTAAGAAAAATTGCCTTATCAGCTTTTTTTCGTAAAAAATAACTTTTTTTTCTCTTATTCTTGATACTTAAAACATTTTATTGACATGCATGTTATTATTTGGGATAAAATTTTCTGAAAATGACGAATTTTTCAAATATTTCACTTTATTTTATGTAATATGTGTTCCACATGAACTTCAATTAGAATTTATACATTTACAGCGAGACTCTGCAGTAAAATACAAGTTTCTTGAAAATCCTACATTGATTAATTTTTATTCGAAATACGAGACGGAAGATAAGTATCCGGGAATTCGTAAATTTCTAGAATTTATTGATGTGGTCCTCGAGCGTGAAAGGTTGAAGACCCCCTTCTGTAGAGCATCATCTCTTCTTACTACCGCAATTGGCCATGAGGGTACCAGTTTGACCTACAAGTCAAGTAGTCGATCTAAGTTCAAAGTTCAAGTAAATTCATAAAGATCCGCGGGCCACATGTCTGTCACAAAAATAGTGTAGTCAGAAAATTTATATAAAAAAAGAAGGTTTGTTTTGCAAGACTACAATTGATATGTCTGTTTTCCAGTGGCAGTAGAATACAAAACAATGTCATTCTTGTATTCTACTGCTAGATGGACTATGTTTTAATGTAGCAATTGGACCTCCGCTTCACTTTCCTCTGCCCCCGCTAAAGTAGCTGTTTCTTAATCCTGGTTAGTCTGTCAAGAACACTCGCAAGGATTCTCTACTGGGTTCGCCGCCATAGTCTGGCTAGCAGACGTACTTGGAGAAGGTTGATTTTCCGTTGATTGGCGACTGAATTCCGAGTTGGAAAAGGTTTTTGTGTCTTCTTCAATAGTTCATCACATTTTTTTTTTTTTTTTGTTTCAGCCGCTTTCTTATGTTTTTCTGAACGACTTAGGTGTTTTTTCTTTACGGGTTCCTCCGAGATTTTGTTCCTTAAAGAAAAGGTAAATAATCGTGTGAATGAAAAACGACGCGAGAGAAATAGTAAAAATTTCTATAATGCCTATCTACTCAAGAAAACCTTTGGTACTTCACACTCGTCGATTTTATAATATGAGATGAAATAAATATGTATGTAAAACCAAATCTTGCAATCAATTATCAAACTCACCTGGTAACAGTGGTAACTTCAGTTTCACAATTACACTAGCTCGTCGTCTCGCCGATTTTACCAAGGCACTATCAGTCTTTATAAAAAAAATCTAGCACTCTTATCCCAGTTCGTAAGTTTTGAAGAGCACAGTGAGTGAGTGAAGTGAAACACACAGAGCACGATGGAACTTTTTAAACTAAATTCGCGGTCGCTCATAAATCGCAACAAGTGTTTCGAAACTTTTGTGTATCATACAACTACGCTACGTAATGCGAATGCGTCCAACGAATCGCGGATTCCCCCAACCAATGTGAAGTTTAGTACTCACTCAGCCAACCCTTTATCGGCTGCATTCCGAATTAATGCTTATACTTTATAAAAATATCAAGCACTCTTTAATCCAAATTAATAAGTTTTGAAGCACAGACCGCAGTAAAACTTTTTTAATTAAATTCATTCACGGTCACAAAACTCATAAATCGTAATTGCATATCAAGCATTTCAAAACGTTTGCTTATCATACAATACGCTACGTAAAGCATCCATATTATTAGTTCTACTACTCGATGCTAGATGGTTTTCTTCTGTAAGCATGCGTCGAAGAAAAAAAAAAAAAAAAAGCAATAATACCTATTATCATTGAGGATAAAAATTTTCACTCTATGAAACATTTTTAATAATTTCTTTTGATTTCGCGCTAGGCCCCTAGGCACTTGCCTACTCTTGTCTAATGGTTAATCCGACTCTGTATATATTTATTTCACCAAGAGTATTTGGGTTGTATATATTTGTTTTACGTGTTGTGATTTTACTTCTTTTATAACCGGTTTCTTTCTTTTGAGTTTCTTATGTTTATTTTGTATGATTGTATGATCTGGTGTTTATATTAGCTTTGCAACCTACCACCAGATTTTCACTAAGTTTATTATGTTGTTATTTAACCATTTATTATGTTACGTCTCGTTATTTAACGTTCGTTTGTTGTTGGATGGGTTTGTCCCCCCATAGCCATATGGCAGCATTCGCTTACTAGTTGGGCTGGGGCCAATGCTTATAACTTACTAAATAACCTTAGCGAGTTACGCACATTCGCTTACTCGAATAGTTAAGCGAATTGAAGATTATGAATATCATCGTAACGCATTAATTTTATTTTTGAATCAAAAACTTAGCAAGGATAACGTGAATTAACTTTAGTACGTAATATTCATAGCATTTGAAATCATAGCTTGTTGGTGGTTTTAATAATAATATGGATATATTCACCAACGTCTGCTTTGATATTCAAACGTAATAAACACATAACATTATACATGTGTGTTTATATAACGAATCGGCAAATTTAGAATGAAATCAGAAATAAAATTTAAATCTAATAAATAAAATAAAAATGTATAATGCAACAGATATCTTAAATGACAAAAATTTAACATTTACAAAAATCATAATGCTTTCTTCATTTAAGAAACACAAAACAGTTGAGATTATTATTTAGTACTGTTACGAAATGTCCAGCTGCGGTAAGATAGCTTCCCCGCAAAGCGTGTTTAGGGTTGCCAGAACATGGAAATGGAAGGCAGGGTTGCCATATTTGGCGACAAAATTAGCCATATACTCTAGACGGATAGAGAAAATTCTAGAACGAATTCTTACCGGTTTGGCCTAGAATGTTCTCGAAGGCAGACCAAAAGCTATATAAACCTTGCCTGTACGTGGGGTAGCAATCTAGGGTGGAGGTGTCTCGTCCGTGTATCGTCGAGTGCATCGTGAGTTGTAGCATCGAGAGTATGATGAGTTCTGAGAACGACCGAACCGAGCCGGAAGCTGTACTCTAGTGCTTTGCCGTGAAGCTGTCTTTACCGTTATAGCCAGATGGCTGTGTTATTGATTGTTCCAGCGTCGTAGTTTTTCGACGACTGTAAACGTGTTTTTGGAGCTATCCTGAGTAATACTGGCTAATACATTGTGTCTTCATTCTTCATCAAGTGTTCTCGTCAATCACTCCAAATCCACGAACCCGTACAAACGCAACAATACAATTCGTATTTAAAATAAGTGAAATAAATAAATGGAAATCTTTAAATTGCTTTAAACTGATACGTGAAATAATGACAGTCTAGTTGTGTAAACACATTTTATTTTCGTAAATGCATCATTTAGTATTGAGTATAAGTTAGCATGAAAAATTAAGTCATAGTTGCTGAAGCCAGGAATTAAGAAATCCACCTGGAAACTGCAGAAGCTATATCATGAAGTATTTCGTCCTAAAATAAAAAGAGAATAGTTTCAGTAATTTTAGTAACCTTAATTAAATTTGTGAAAAAGTTATGAATAAAAAAATGGACCAAAAATAAAAAAGAAAAGAAGAGAAACATGTAAATGTGCATACTTTTCTTACAAAGTAAAAAAAATGCCCCCCTTCCTCAAAAAGAAAAGAAAAGAAACAGGTAACTGTGCATACTTTTCTTACAAAGTGAAAAAATGGACCCCCGTCCTCAAAACGAAAAAGGTAACTCTGCATACTTTTCTTACAAAGCAACAACTGCTTTAGGAGCTTAAATTACGCTGGAACCCATCGGAGCCCAGCTCCGGTACTTCTCAGTTTTCGAGATAAATTCAGCTAATTCGAGATAAATTAAGATAATTTCAGCCGGAGCGCATGGGAGTCCTAAATAAAAGGGCTCCGGAACTTTTTTCTTCCTTGTACGAACTAAGAAGGAAGTATAGTAATCGCGAAATACTTCAGGCATCACATTTCAACGAAAATATCCATCTTGACCGCTATCGAATGCAATTTAACGATATTTTTGCATCATGACATCTATACGTAAGAACAGAATAAAGGACCCTTTTCCCCCAAAAAAAATTATAAAACTGATTTAAAATGAATTCTGAAGAGAAATTTTCGTGGCATCTGTGCGTATGTACGTATATCGCATAACTCAAAAACGAGTAGCCTCAGAACTTTGAAATTTTGTATATAGGATTAGTATGTAGATGTGCACCTCGTATTTTGGTTGCAATCGGCAAATGTATATAAATATATGTATATATATCCACTCTGTTACTCGACTCAGTAATCTCAGTTTCTTTATTCTTATATATTTGTAAATTGGGTACTTACTGAGTCGAGTATCCACTCTGTTACTCGACTCAGTAATCTCAGTTTCTTTATTCTTATATATTTGTAAATTGGGTACTTTTTGCTTTCAAAATGATTGAATTATGTTGTTCTTATCTTCTGGTTAAGGTTTTTATGCCTTTAGTAAATCCGCATGCGATATTTTTAGAATTATTAACAATTTAAAAATGCTTTCAGCGCCACTAAGCCTGTTGCAATGGCGACAATGTTTCTTTACTTTTGAAACAGCAGAATAGTAGATTTGTTGCCAATCTAGAGAAAGTAAGCTTCGCAAAAACAAAGATAACGTCTTCTTTTATTATTGTGAATTAAATCATGCTTTATCCATTCTGGAATTTATTCGAGGAAATAAGTGTTTAAGATTTACTTCGTAATTTTCACTACAGATATTTTGAGTTTTTATCGCGAAGTAAAAATTTAATTAATTGAATAAGAAATACTGATTCGTCTGCGAAAATTTTTTCTTTTATTTTGTTTTGTTGTTGTTTGCTTAATTGTTTTATACATCATTTTAGATTTATTATAGTATTTGAATAGGATATGTGGCAACAATTATATAATTCTTAAGATGATATAAATTTTGTGCATTCTGAGTTAAAAAAATTCCGATGTGTACACCACATAAGTTCCTTGTACGGAGTATTAAATTATACGCAGTTTTTCCTGCATTTCGTTTAAATTTCTTGGATTGAATTAAATCTACTTCGCCGACAGCGCATAAACCACAATAGAATAAATGCGTTCTTTAAAACTCACCCTATTTGTTTACCATAGCGACACTCTGGCGCTAGGTTCACTAATATTTCGTTCATACGAGTATTATAACTCAGAATGCACAAAATTTTATATCATTTAAAGAATTATCTAATCATTGCCATATGTTCTATTCAAATACTATAATAAATCTAGAAGGATGTACAAAATAAATTAAGCCAACAAAACAAAAAAGAAACAGTTTTTCACAGACGATTGAATATTTCTCATTCAATTAATTCAGGTCTCACTTCGCGTCAAGGCAAAAATGCATAAAAACTCAAAATATCTGTATTAAAAATTACGAAGTAAATCTTAAACACTTATTTCGTCGAAAAAATTCCAGAAAGGATTAAGCATGATTTAATTCGCAATAATAAATGAAGGCGTTATCTTTGTTGTTGCGAAGCTACGTTTCTCTAGATTGGCAACAAATCCACTACTCTGTTTTTTCAAATGTAAACAAGCAATGGCCGTCATCAAAAAAGTTATTAGGCTTAGCGGCACTTAAACAACTTTAAAATTGTTGATAATTCTAAAAATATTGCATACAGATTTACTATAGGCATAAAAACCTTAACCGGAAGATAAGAACAACATAATTCAATCATTTTTAAAGCAAAAAGTATACAATTTACAAACATATAAGAGTAAAGAAACTGAGATCACTGAGCCGGGTAACAGAGGGAATATATATATAAATATATTATTATAAGTAAGGTTGTAAAGAAGAAACGAAAAGACCAATTTAGGTCGAAATTTTTCGCATTGTGCCGGAAAATTAAGGAAATTAGAAGATAAATTTTAGTAAGCTCGCGAAAAAGTTAGCAAAACTGTGGCTCCGAGAAAAATCCAACATAAGCATATTTAGTTGCTATGAAAAGTGTGAAAGAGGTTGGCGCGGCCGATTGCAACCAAAATACGAGGTGCACATCTACATGTTATAGTAGTCCTATATACAAAATTTCAACGTTCTGAGGCTACTCGTTTTTGAGTTATGCGAGATACGTACGTACGTACATACGTTCGTACAGACGCCACGAAAAATTCTCTTCAGAATTCATTTTAAAGCAGTTTTATAATTTTTTGGAGGAAAAAATTCTTTTATTCTGTCCTTATGTACAGATATCACCCAAAAACATCGTTAAATTGCATTCGAAAGCGGTCTAAATGGATATTTTCGTTGAAATATGCTGCCTGAAACTTTTCGCGATTACAATACTTCCTTTTTACTTCGTACAAGGAAATAAAGATGAATGAAATTTAACGCTGTTAAGCGACCCTAGAGCCAGAGTGTCGCTATGGTAAACAAATATAGTGAATTTCAAAGAGTGCATTTATTCTATTGTGGTTTATGCACTAATGACAAAATAAATTTAATTCAATCCAATAAGTTTAAATGAAATGCAAGAAAAAATGCGTATAATTTAATATTCCGTACAAGGAAGTCTTGTGGAGTACACATCAGATTTTTTATGTAAGTGAGCCACAATTTTAGTAGAAAACAAGCCTTAAAAATTAATTCTACTTTCAAGGCTTGAGAAACACAGGAAAGACAGGCCTGCATTCTGAATGCAGGCCTTCTTTTCCCTCGCACTTAAGCCTCGCACAGAGGTTCAGACTTTTAAGGAAAGAAAAGCCCACCAACCATATGTCAAAGACCAAAGACTTATTCTCCAGGATGTGCAATGAATTTATAAGAGAGGCTAAATTTTGTGTTTCTCAAAGTACTAAAAGTGATACCCTGGTTGTACACATTCCACGGTAGTGACTTCCTACTGCAGAGCTCCTGTAGTGTTTCTGAATGATGTAACCACAGTTTCACAGAGAAGTCTTACGTTTATTTTCTCGTTGTTACCGAATCGTATCTCAGACAAAATTTCTGCTCGACGGCTAGAATTATATCGACAGGGCATCGCGATCAGAAAGTCTTGAACTCTTACTTTTATAGATACAATGCATATGAAAGTCACACATAATCACATTATGCTCTTAAATTCACACATAATTATAGTATGCTAAATAAAAAGGTTTTTTTTCAAAGATGCACTTTTCCATTAAATTTTTTTCCATATTCTTATACTGTTTCTAGAATTCCCATTATTCTACCTAGTGGAGCCTTAATCGTTTTATTATTATTTTTTTTTAACTTGGTGAGCTGCAGAACGTGTTTTACTTGTCATCCATTGGAATAGTACATTATACGTATAATCAGGCTTAAACTCAGACGGAGATATGATGAGGTGCTTCTTAGCATCCAAGTGGAATTGTAATTCCAGACGATGCCCCAAATAAGACAAGGTTCGATATTTTTTTTTTCTATTTAACTATTTAAAATTAATTTAATAATTTATTAGATTTCTCTTTATCTCTTTACATTTCTCTTAATTTAAATTTAATTACTTTAATTTCTGTCTATTTTATTTACTTATTTTTTTTTCGTTCCTCACAGTTTTCCGTAGAAATCCGGCGCTTTTTGTTTTTTAATTTTAGAAATTAAGACCTGCCTTTAAGGAGAGAGTTTAAGGAATAATGGTTTATTCCGAACTCCCCTTTGTTTCTCAGTCATGACTTTTCTTCTGTTTCAATAAACTTCCTCTCACTTTACGCCACTAAATGGCGCCACAGGACAGTTAATTTTTCCACTTCTGCTTGTACCTGAAACGCTTCACTTTGTTCTCTTTACTGCGATTTAAATTAGGCAAAAACAGTAACCTTATTTCGACCTAGATTTTAAATAAATTTCTATCGATTTCGATCAGAGACAAGTCTCTCTTGTTCAGCAGTATAAAAATCCGCAAAGAAAGAGAAGCGATGACCGTATTTATGTAAAAATGTATGGGGGGCAAAAATATGATATATAAATACGCTCACCACTTCTTTCTTTGCAGATTTTTTTTTTTTTTTTTTTTGCTCCTGAAGAACAGACACTTGTGTCTCATCGCTCTCGAAATAGCTAGTAACTTAAAATCTACGCTAAAATAAGTTTCGCTGTTTTGCTTAATTTCAGGTTTTACGTTGGGGTGTTTCTCTTCCTGTTTTATTTTCTCTCTATTAAGTCTCAATCACATTATGTTTGCGCTGCGAGGGACTTGACTTTGAAAGGGACAATTCTCAGAACCCTCACATTTCCAGGAAACCTGCGTAGCTAGGTTATCATTTTTACTTAATACAAAGACTTGGAACGCCAAACAGTAATCGATTATCACTCAGATTGGGATCACGTGATCCTTCAGAAGCAGAACTTTCATCTGATTGGTTGTTCTCTACACGTGACAGAGCTCTAGCCGAAACATTTTCGGCGAAGTTTCAAAAACCAGTGTTACTAGCATCTCGTTTTTCAGAAAAGTCCCGTCTAGCCCAGACCAT